CACAGCTCATAAAATGAAACGTTGGTAGAATGAAAATATTCACGCAGTGCATAACAAAGTAAACGCAGAACAGATGAGATTTTAAAAATACTCTTCGTATAAGTATTATAACTAGTAAGCCAGCTTTATGAGATTATACTTGCATTAGAAAATCTTGCCAAAGTCCGGAAAGAACTGCTTCAAACAAAATATAATTTTAGCGGTAACATTTGAGAAAATCTGTACAAAATGTCCTTTTTGGTCTTTTCAATTACGTAAAAGAAAATAAAATGACGTTTTAACATTTTTGTTACAGAAACATTTATTATTTTAACTGAGCGTCACTTACCAATGGATGATACAATCCAGGATCTCCCTTTCCATATAGCAGTAAGGCAGAACATCTGAAAGAAATATTATTTCCAAAATGATGCCTCTTTTTCTGAGGATGAAGGAAAATACGTAGTAAGATGTCTGAATTCGAGAAAGGGTCCAGGCATAGATGACATGTCTAAAGAAATTACCAAAAGAAGATTTTACAAATGACTTTAACCCATATTGGACCGCTGTCCTAAATATAGGATGGCCCAATTAAATTTCATTAAATGGAAAATAAAGGTAAACAAATAGATAAACTTTGGTATAACATTCTTGAAATAGACGTTAAGTGTCATATACAGGCTAAAAGATGGCCTATATTAATTAATTTCATTAAAAACATGACTTTAAAAATAACCCTTTAAAATGATTCATTTTTGAGCCGTTATTTAGGATTAAAATCTATATTTTTCATATAGATTTTAATTCTAAATAATTAGTATAGTACTATTTATAGAAATAGAAATATCCGTGAAAAAATTATCTTTTCAAGGTATTTTTTTTTGCATTTTATATGTGTTCTGTAAATAGGACAAGGGTCCGATCCCCAACCTTTTTATCGTACGTCACTCTCCGAATTCATGAGTCACATTCCTTCAAACCAATTTTGAACAACAGCTATTCATACAGTGACATTAGCGTGGTATAAGGAAGGATTCGGGAATAGATTATTTTGGAATTTTTGTTGGGTATGGCTTGTACTACATTACAAAAGTAAAATGTCACACAACCCCCAAATAGGTTTTTCTGAGTAAAAGAAGGTTCATTTATGCGATGTTTCCTTGGAAATAGTAGTAGCAGGTGTACTTTTGTATAAAAGAGATAAACATTCTAAAAAGAAGTTAACCTGGAAAGTTTCTTTTTGATCTTGGATCCTGATGGTTCCCCTGTGGGCATTCAAAGCTGTCACGTCAGATGAAACTTTTCTGTAGAACTGCACATGCGTTTCTTCTTTTGGGAGAAATAATCCACAGTACCTTTTTCTAAAGTAGATCAGATACTTGCCTGTTTATTACTTGAGTGAAAATATAAATTGTCTTTGAAAGATCAATATTTTTAAAAGGGCAAGAAAGTTTCTAACAACTCTAGATACTCTTTAATACATAAATTCTCTCTCTAATGAAGAAAACTGATGAGCCTAAAGTGGTTAGTGGCCTGAACCTGATTCAGTTAGTGATGAAGAATAGATAGATGATTCTACCGCAAGTTATAATATATCAGTACCATCTGGCGAATCTGAAATAGAAGATATCGCAAGAACTATAGAAATTTTATCAGAAAAATCTGAAGAAACTAATTTTGATGTAAAAGCCCCCACCCCCCAATTGGTAAAAATGTGAACCCCAGTTCATGCTTTCACCAACCTGTATTTCGTTTCAAGACCGTCAAAATATTCTAAATGTGGTGTCAGGAAAATCTTCAGTTGAACTTTTTCAAATGATGGCTGAAGACAAATCTTATACAGTTGTAGAGACTTGCCGGTATGCAAAACAAGCAAATAATTATTCTTTTAATGTCACTGAAAGTAAAAAATCCCGAGGGACGCCAGAGACGATGCCAGTTAATATCATGCAACAGAAAACCTCCAACTATTTGCAAATTATGCAATATTATAACTTTGTACTGACAGTTTTCCCAATTTTCGTTACTAATTAATTTAAGAAAGCAAAATTTTTGTAAAATGTGGTAGTGTATTGGACCATTGTCCTATTAATAGCACAGCCTTTAACTTTATAAAATCCAAACAATATCTGAAAAAATTTTGTTTTACATCTGTTACTACCTCATATTATTGATATCTCTTAAGTGTTACATTTTTCCAGCGGAAATGTTTAAGAGTGGTCCAATATGGTTTAATATGTTTTAAATATTTCCGTAGATTATATAAGATAAGCGAATATTTTAGGGGGGAGGTCATTTTCTTATATTCGAGGTAATATGGTATACATGTATTATTTTTAGCTTGAAAGTTCATACGCATATAATATTTTGAATTATCTAATACATATTATTAACTGTTTGAAAAGTATATTTTACTGTTTACATAAAAAGTAAAAAAAGAAAATACCACTGACGGCACAGGCTTGCTTTGAGTAAGCTAGCGCGTTTATTTGTTGAAGTTGCTGCCTTGGTGCTTATAGAAGTACCTCGTGCAATGTAGAGCGTGTTCACCTTCTGTGTACCTTAGTCTTGATTAAGATTTTAAATAAAATGAGTAAAGATTCTTTAAAAAACTTATGACCCGTTAATGGTACTAATTCTGAGCTGCAAATTCCCATGCGATACGCAGCAGTTTTAACATATACTATATTTTTCGAAATTATTTTATTGAAAAAGAAATAAAAGTTAATGCAAAAGTTATTATAAAACAAATAACTCAGATGAATTCAAATTAAAAAATTATTGCATAAATATATTTAGCGATTTGATTATTCTTACTGAACATTTTATTTAAGTATTTTTAAATAATTTTGAACGTCCTTTTTCTTGATCATACGATGCTGCTTATATGTGGTCCGTCTACGACCGTATATAGCTATGGTTCTCAACCTTTCCCCCATCAGTATTGATAGAAGATCATTCTATTCTCCTTTCCAAAACTTGAATAATGCATGTATACATTGTAGTGACATTAAGCAATTTTTTGGAAGCGGGAAAGATGAAAAATTAGCAAACGCCTTTCCCGGGAATCGAATCACGGACCTCTCAATTACACGCTGAGCGTGCAGACTACTATACCACGAAGACTCGCTAAAAAGGAGGGAGAAATACCTTACAACACTACACATTTATTTAGATTTCGATTACTAAGTTTGATTTTCTTTGGGAGCATAAACTAGCATCAAACTCGTGAATTATCGCTGTGTCTGAAATGAACTACAGAATCTTGGAAAGGTTTAAAACAAAAATTTTCTTTTAAGAGAACATAATTGCACAATAGTCAAATTCAAAATTTAAAACTTAACCTAGTAGTCAAAGACTACACAATTTAATTTAATTCTAACTTGGCTAAGGACATCTCATTAGTGTAACAATTTAAATGACGGAAGTTATAATAGAAAGCCAATTAATTACAATCTTATCAGAGTTGGAAGAATTAAGTAACGTGGCCTTGAGAATCACAAACACGCCGTGTCTTCCGAAAACCTCAGGTTAAATACTCTCTAACTTCTATGATGGGGAAAGGGAAAGGAGCAATTATAGTAAAGGCTGAAATTATAAATAATTGGTTAATGCAAAATAATTGTAAATCTACAAGTTTATTTTTAACATGTTTTATTAACGTATTTTATTTTAAATTAAAAAACAAAAAGCATAAAAAATGATGGTAAATATCAAAACATGAATAAATGTAGTTTTTAATATTCATGAACTAAAATACTTAACAGCTAAATAAAAGGCTGATCGCATCCCTTTGAAACTATGAAATTCCTCCCAAGGGAGGAATTCCCTTCTGGATGAGAACCCATGATATATACAGGGTGTTTATAAATGAATGGTGCGATTTTAAAAATTAATAATGAATGTATGTATTATCTCATCCGTATAAACCCTATACCGTCATCATTGGCAACTGTCCAAGTTTCTCATGCGCTACTTGCTGTTTGCTTGTCATCCTTACTCTTCAGTTTACAAGATGGCGCACTATGTGCTCCGTTTTGAGGTGTCCAGATCTTTGGTTTCAGTGCAGCGTGAATTTCGTGCATTTGTTCTGTGCGGTGACCCACGAAAAAGTGCATAGCCCATATTTCTTCCAACAAGAAACTGTAATCGGTGACTCATTTCTAGGGATATGTCGGAAACCTCTTTGTTACCCCATCGTACACCAATTATGATGATTGCATTTTTTGCAACTGGACAGTGCTCCGCTCCATTTTCACAGGAATGTATGAGAGCTTCTTAATCGTGTTCTTCACCAAAGCTGGATTGGACGTGTTGCAATAGCAGACAACAAACTTCTCCCTTGGCCATCCGTTCGCTGGATTAAACACCGTACGATTTCTTTTTTTGGGGGGGTTGTTAAAGACCGAGTTCATGCATCGCCAAAGCCCGTGTCCTTTGAGGAAGTTTGTGGTGGGATAAAGCATGCTTTGCAGACCGTCACAGAGGACACGCTACACTGAGTATGGGAAGAATTTCATTAACGTGTAGATGTGTATCGTGTAACCAAGGGCGCACATATTGAAAAAAATTGATTAATTCATTAAAAACTCGGACAACTGCTGCTGCTTATGCTATAAAGTTTGCCCATATAAAATAATACATCTATTTATTATTAATTTTTAATGCCGCATCATTTATTTATAAACACCCTGGTACGGTATCACTTAGTTATGGTTCATCAAATTTAACGTTATAGTCCGTTTGATTAGACTAAGGGCAAATACTTTAAAATTTTAACTTTTTAAAATTATGGACCATTACCTAGAATTCCGTATTAAAATTTATTGTTTTTGGCAAAAGTAACAGTATTACGCGTTCTTGGAAGAGAAAGGAAGAAACGATAAAAGATTAGCATATCCTTAGGGTACATTCGTAATTATCGTAAACTTTCATCCGGAATACCAAGGTAGCCAGTTATTCATGCGTGCAACTGTGTCACGAAAAATGTTATAAATTTTGTGCCTTATTTGCAAACCTTTGATGGTTTAAATGGAACCTTACACAAGCGTGTCTTAAGTAACTTTATCTAGTGTAAGTTTATTTGGAATTTTTGTCCTTTATTTTCTAAGTGGTTAATTAATGTGTAGATTTTACTTGCTTTTTATTGGAGTAAAATTCAGTTTTAAGCGGTCGGAATTTAAGCGTTCGGAAGTTTTAAGTGGTCGGAAGTAAAACGATGAATTGAAATGATCTTCGTTTCATCAACTAGAAGTCTCAGAATTTTTTCATATAAATCTATTAACAACCCAAACAGTGCTTATATTCAGTCAAAGCATGCCGGAACTGGAGTCCGGTGCCTCTCAGTTTGTAGTATAGTCATAGTCTCATATTAATGAGCTCCAGTACTTTGTTGTAAAACTGGTGTTTCTGGTAGAAAATTATCGTTCATGCAGCATTTATTTCAGAATTTATTAAAACAGATATTACTCTAGCTCAATGATTCTTAACCAATGTACCGCGGCACTTTTCTGTGCCGCCAAATTCTTGTAGTGGGCCGCCAAATTTTAGAAATGTATACAGTAAATATTATAATTGGTTTAATCCTAGTATACGGTAAACATGAGAATTGGCGAATTTTTAAGACATTAAGAAGCGCGCCAATTTTGGTATCTAAGCCGATTTTGGTGCCGGATACTTCTGTATTTGAATTAACTTTGAACGAAGAGGAAGAACTAATTTCGCTTTCTAATAAACTAGATTTAATTTAAAAATATTCGGAAGAATCAATTTATTCATTTTGGATTAACATTAGATGCGATTATCCCATGATGGCCAAAACCAATTTTAAACATATTATTATAGTTTTCTACATTTTATTTGTGTGAATTCGGATTTTCAGTATTAACCAACATAAAAACGCAAAAACATATCGAGACTGTTAAATGTAGAAGACAATACGAGAGTAGCATTGTCATTTTTAGGACCAAATATAAATGGAATTATCAAAAACATCAAGCTCAAGTTTCTCCTTAAAAGTATTTTTACTATTAACTTGTAATTAATCCCTTAATAAACCTAATTCTGTTTTTGGTAGTACATATTATTTTATTTTACATTCAAAATTATTTTCATAAACTATTTTACACAGTGTATTACAGGTAAGAAAATAACTTTTAAATATATCTTTTTCTTTACGTGCCGCCAAATTTTGAAATTGTTAAAAGCGTGCCGTGACAAAAAAAGGTTGAAAATCACTGCTCTAGCTGCTGAATGTATACTTCACTCTTCGTAAGAAGAACAAAAAACGCGGGAAATCTGGAGCTGCTGCGGAATGTGATCTTTACTGTCAAAATGCCAAAACTTCAAGGATTTGAATAGTTGAAATTTGTGTCTATCCGGTCAGTAAAGCTTTAAATTCATTAGAAGCCAAGATAAGATGCGTGATTATGTGAAGGTGAAAAACGTTATTATTAAGTAATTACATTTTTGGCCTCGGTACTATGCCTTATTGTCATTATTTTACTAGCATTTTAAGTTTTAAGATTTATTATTTATCTGTTTATTCTTAATTTAATTTAATTTTCTCAAATTGCTTTATTTCTTTACATTTTATCTGAGGTTAAAAACCTAAATATTTTTTTTTTATTTGCTATTATGTGATTTATTTTTGCTTGTTAATCGTTCCTAATAGTCTTCAATAAGCATCAGATTTTAAAAACTAAGCAGCTTTATAAAGCACTGTCATCCGCAACAAGTTTCATCAAACTTATATATTTAAGATTTAACTGTGTAGCTCAAAGATAGAATATCGATTACTTTTTTAGTGGTGTGTTTTCAAATATTTATACTATATCTACTTTTTTCAAATTTTTTTTTATTTTATTGAGAAATTAAATGGTCTATAATTAAATATAGATATTTAGCATTTTACCTCAGCAAAGGGTCATCCGATTAGATTATAATCAGATTGAAGTTCAGCGATGATTGTAATTTTGTGTGAAATAGATATAAAAATGTAGCTATCGACTTCTACAACGACATTTTAGCAAGGGTGTCCGCTCTTTCATTTCCGACAATTCCACCGTGTGCTTTTACCCAGTGTAATTTAACAATATGTTTTCTTTCAGCATTTTTAAACAAGACTTTTATTTCATTAATTAGTCGATTTTCATGATCTGGTTGGGCGAGTGCCTGAAGCGCAGATAGGGCATCAGTATAAATATTTATAAAACACCGAACGGTTAATTTTTTATTAATTCAATTCAAAGACTCTGTCAATGCGTATAGTTCTGCTTGATAAACCGAATTCATTGGTTTAAGTTTTATTCTCACATTGTCTATTTCCACTCCATGAAATTTATCCGATTTCCACTCCATGAAATTTATCCACGAAATTTATGAAAATTATCCGATTATATTTGTCCATATTTAATTGGATCCCACCAGCGGCCGAGCGGAAAAGTCGTTGCTGGTAATTCGGTCCGCAGTACGAATATATAATTATAATAACCATTCAAATTTTATATCTTTATGAATAGGGTATATTTAAAAATCCATGAAGTAAATGTAAGATAAATAATGACAGTTAGAAATGTGATTAAAAAGTAAAACAAAGATATAGATTGCTTTAAATCAATCGATTAGTTAAAGAAAAGTATGCATTTAATTCGATATATCAATTAATGATCATATACCATGTCAGACGGCAGAGCTTCTAAATATCAACTATCTCATTTAGGTGGCGGGGATCATAAATTTGACAAATTAAAGACCTTATACCTCCTACAATAGCAAAATTTATTGAGCGAATGGTAAATAACGTGGTAGCATAAAATAAAGGGGCGTGAAAGAAATGTAAAATTAAAGTACAGAAGTTTCAAATATCCCTCCCCTTTCCCCCCAAAAAGCTAAATGTGTTTTAAATTTAATTTGGCTGATTTCTCCAGTTTGACTGATTATAACTTGTAAAGATCTTGTACAGCAAAGAATTGAAATTTCTTTATCTTCCTACATCATATCTCAGATCAAAAGAACACGTAGGACTCTTTTCTTAATAGACAGGGGGGGGGTTATTATTGGAAGTAATTTCAATCAAATGAATATCAAAAAGAATTATCTATTAATTGGAATTGCTGTGTTTGACTCAAAGTATTAAGGTTTGACATTAGAAATGTCTTTAATGGTGTTTTCTCAACTTTGTTTTTCATATACTATACAATTTATATTAGTAGGAATTAGCAGACGTTGCCACTGCAGGAATCATAAGATGTTTAATTTAATTTTGAATTGCCTTTAATTTACTTTTAATTTTTGTGCTGCTTAAGAGTTGAGCAATAAAAATAGTAAAGGAAGTTCTTATTAATTTAAATCATCATTTTATTTTTAAAAATGCATCTAACTGATATAATATAAAATCTAATTTATAATATATATAGTTGATCATTTGGAACATTTAGAGCATTAAGTTAATTTATAGAAGATGTTTGGAATGCCGTATATTACGTACTTGGGTATTGAAATTTTGATTTATATTTATTTTCGAGCTTGAAATTCATTATTATATTTCTAGAATCTAATACGAAACACGGCAGCCTTGTGATCATAATTTTTTGGATTATTTAATGAGACTGGTAAAAAAGGTACGAAAATAATTAAATAAAAAGTTATAACGGTACGTGATATATATTTCGTTACATAAATATTAATTGAATAAATCATAATTTTTAAAGTCTGTTAGTTGCTGCAATAGAATAATTAATCGCATTGCATTTAAAAGCAAATTCTTGATAGCTTCATCACTCGAAGTCATAAAAAGACGAATAATGGAAATTTATAGTTAAAAAAATGAGAGTTTTCAGATTTTAAATTACGTTCAGAGGGGCGTTTTTTTAAAATTTTGTGTATTACTTTTATTTATTAAATATCATGTTCTTCGCACTTAAACCATAAAATTCAGTTCAAGAGCAATATCGCAAAATAATTTTAAATTGAGAATATCTTTAGAATTTCCGATACACAGTTTCACGTGCTGGAGATAAAAATGTTTTTTTCTGTACAACGTTGTCATTGCTCGCTTTGAAATCCTTGAGTTTGTAAATCAAAAATTCTTTAAAGATTTGCAAAATATGAAATCGATAATAAAATAAATTCCAAATTTCAAATTTGGGCTTCCAGATGCTCATATTCGCTGGAGGATTACGTCATTCAAAATTGGATGGCTCTAGGTACCGTTGTTTTATCACAATGCGAGAAACATATATACATTTATGCAGATTCTTCATTATTTAATTTCTCAAATATAATACAGGGTGATAAAATTTGGTGGCAACAGTATGAAAAGTGAAACGGACATTCAGAGTAATTCGACGCAAAATCGCAAAACGAAAACAATAGTCCCTCAGGGACAAAGCCCCTTTGCACTAATAAAAGTCAGTTACATATGAGAAATGTGTAGACGATTAAACTGCAAATACATTTATAAGGTATTTCTCCCACCTTCTTGGCGTGCCTTCGGGGTGTAATGGTTATGCACGCTGGGCCGGTATTCCAGAGGTCCGCGGTTCGATTCCAGACGAAGGCGATTGCTCATTCTTCATCTCTCCGGCCTTTCCAATTAACCTAATGTCTCTACACAGTAATTAAAAACACTTTTGTTGGTAGACTGATATCCTGAGAATAAATAGTCTCTGATAGTTTGCTCGAATTCTTTTGCAAACTGGAATCCGTTAGATTGAGCATATAATATAACATGTAATGCTTAGCTTGTAAAATTTAGAAATCCTATTTTAATCTCCTTTTAATTTGTAGACATATTTTTATTTGAGAAACATAGTTTTAGTTAAGTTTGTGAAATTTTAAATTAGCATTTTTTTGTTCGTAAAACTAAATGCTCTTAAAAATGGGGGAAAATTATAAAAAAATAATAAGAAAAATAAAATAAAATAGAAAAGTTCATAATAAAGACATCTCAATAATTTTAATTTAGAATGAAATTTCGAAAAACAAAAATTGTCTCTTTAGTCCATGAAATTTCAGTAAAAAAATGGTGGCCAAGGTACAAACAGGGTTTTCTTGAAATGCTTGGAGTATCA